ATCATTGATTTCCATAGCGGGTTTTGAAGGTTTTTGGCTTTCTCGCTTGTTGGGCTTCCCGACGCTCCAAGACTCCAAGGCAACCCAAGATGCCTCCGAGAGGGTCCGAAAACGGCTCAAAAGGTTTCAAGACGATTCAAGGGGCGCCTAAGATGGCCCAAGAGGCCCCAAACACGGCTCCAAGAAGGGGCCCAGATGGGGGACCCGAGCGGGCACGAGAGGCCCCCAGGAGGCACCAACAGGCCCCCAGGAGTCCTCCAAGAGACCCCAAGAGGCCTCCAACGAGTCCCCGAGAGGCCGCCAGGAGGCCCCAAAACTGCCCCCGAGGGAGCCCCCGAGGAGGCCCTGAGGAGGCCTCCAAGGCGCCCTGTGCCCCCAGGGCCAGGACCTCCTCCTCCTCCTCCTCTTCCTCCTCCTCCTCCTCCTCCTCCTCCTCCTCCTCGTCCTCCCCCCTCCTCCTCCTCCTCCTCCTCCTCCTCTCCTCCTCCTCCTCCTCCTCCTCTTCCTCCTCCTCCTCCTTCTCCTCCTCCTCCTCCTCCTCCTCCTCCTTCTCCCCCCTCCTCCTCCTCCGCCTCCTCCTCCTCCGCCTCCTCCTCCTCCTTCCTCGATCCAAAATGTTTGTCAGACGTTTCCGAATCGAGGCCTTCAGGGCGCCCTCTCGTGGCCGCGGCCGGACACACTGAGAGACTCGGGCCCGAACGCCCCCCCCGGCAGTATTGGGAGGGGCAGCCGCCCCACCGCCCGTTATTAGTCCTCTCGCTCCCCCCGGCCATCCTCTGTCCTCCGAGCGTGAGTGTTTTTCGGGGATGAGTCTGGATGGTTGCCACCAAGTGGCATGAGCGCTCCTGGTTTCCTCAGTTGGGTTCCAGGAGCTTCAGACGGCTGAGGATGCCCACCCGGCTGGCCCACGACCGCCTTGCATGGTCCCAGCAGATCGGGGACGGCCCCAGAGTGCCTCAGCATGGTCCCGGAAGCCTCCGCGACCCTCCAAGTCGGCCCAGGAGACCTGGCAAGAGTGCGCACGACGCCTTCAAAGAAAACCGAAGACGGCTCAGTAAAGCCCCCGGACCGGCCCGCGAGAGGGAGCACGAACGAGCTGTTCGAGGTTGCTGTTCCAAGAAGGGCCCAAATCGCCCCGAGAGGCCCAAGAGAGGCCTGAAGACTTCTCCCCCGGCGGCCCTGGGACACCCAGGCAGCAAAACACAATGAATTCAGTCTTGTGGATGGGCCCGCCGTGCACAGAAAAGAGCTATGTCTTTCCGTGTATTCCTGCGGATCCGCCCCGGAGAATTTGCGACACCGTGAAAATCACGACCAGGGCCCCAGATCTGCGGCGAGCGAGGGTTGGAATGAGAAGGAGAAGGCCTTCTCAGAAGGCTGCGGGGCTTCTCAGAAGGCCTCTGGCCTTCTGAGAAATTTTCTGCGTCCTCGGGGAAGGTCCAGAAAACTTTTCAGAAGCCCAGGGGATTTCTGAGCCTTCTAAGGAACCCCGCCATTTTTCACTTACCCCCATCGCTCGCTGCCGACTAGAGCCAGATCGATATGTGAGGGCCCTGGGGCCTGTGAGACCAGGCGAAAGCGCTGGGTGAGCGACGGACGAGAACGGTGTCGTCTTCGCCGACATTGGCGCGCAAACTGCCCACATAAGGCCTCGCGAAAGGGGCCCTCGTTTCGGCTGCGGCGTGCCGCGCTGGCAGCGCGCGTAAGCCACCGCGTAAAGTTGTTGTGCCATCCTGCGTCAGTCCCGTTTCTATCCCTCGCCCAGGCGTGAACAGAGTGCAATGCTCGGGTTTCAGGGGTTGTACAGTTCGGGCGCGCCCTCCCTCCTTTACCCTTGCTGGGGCGGCGGAATCTATACATGTCCACTGCCTGGGCCTGGCCCATCCTGGGCCGAGGAGCGGTGTACACGCCCTCCTTGGCTTGCCCCAAGGTCGTAAGGGCTGGGACAAGGACAAATCCGTCCCAGACGTCCTCCTCAGCCGCCGGATCTCAGAGGCTCTCCACTTGTCCTCATCCGCATTTGCTCTCGTCGTGGAATCGTCTTACACAGGGATGCGCATCCACTGCTCCTGGGCCCAGCATGCGCCAGGCCTGGGGCAGTGGATGTGCTGTATAGATCTCTCGGGCCCAACGAAAGGGGGGATAGGGAAAGGGGGGGTTACGACATCTGCTGCATGCAGCTGGTCTCGGCCCCGCCGCTGGGCCCATTCCTCGATACATTGGCGCTTCCCGGCGCTGGGAGGCGCTGGGAAAATCAGCTACGGAAGCTGATTCTCTACCCTAACCTTCAGTCGGGCCTGTCCCTCTACAGGAGGAATGTGCAAAAATAGTCACAAAAAATAGTATGGGGAAGATGTTTGGCATTATTTCTTTTTCTTGTATGATCATGTTTGGACTATGTTTCAGCTTTCCTCTCAAATCCGCCTGTGGGGGGGCCAGGCCCGACCTAACTCTACCCTTTGCTGCCCCCCCCCCCCCCTTCGTTACCCCCGAATTTCGCTGCCCTCAGTGCCTGCCGCGCGCGCTGGTCGAACCGCGGGGCCTGCGCGGCGCCCCCAGGAGGCACCAACAGGCCCGCCCCCAAGAGGCCCCCGAGAGACCCCGAGAGGCCCCCAAGAAGCCCCCACGAGGCTCCCAACATGCCTTAGCATTGCCCCCCGGAGGCCCCCGAGGGCGCTCTCAGAAGGCCCGCAGAGGCCTCCAAGACGCCCTGGGCCTCCCCCAGCCAGGACCTCGACTGCATATGGGAATTTGGGACCCCGAGACGGTCCAAAATGTGTGTCTGACGTTTCCGGATCTTCTGGGCCTTCAGGGCACCCTCTTGTGGCCTCTGCTGCACACCGTCAGAAAGCCAAGCCCCAACGCCCCCCCCCGCCGATTTTTGGCGGGGCAGCCGTCCCACCACTTGTTAATTTTCCTCTTTCTCCTTCCGTTCTTCCTCTTCGTTATCATCGTCCGCCGAGCGTGGTTGTTGTCGGGGCAGGGGTCCAGATGGCTGCCGCCAATTGGTATGGGCGCCCCTGGCCTCCTCAGTAAGGCTCCGAGAGCTTCCAGACGGCTGAAGATGCCCCCCAGACTGGCCCAAGACCACCCTGCGTGATTTCAGCAGATCGGAGACGGACTCAGAGCGCTTCAACATGGCCTCAGCATGGCCCCAGAGGCGTGTCCTGAGGTTCGACTTGCGTACATGCTCCCTTTCTGGTCTACGGCAACATCCCCGCCAGGAGAGAACGATGTGCTGGACGGGAGCAAGCAGTCTGGAGCAAGAGCGAAAGTTGTCGCACACATCCGGAGCGCTTTGGCCTTCGTAGACGCCGCATTTACGCGGGCACGCTACATTCAAGCATCGTTCCGTCGATTTTGGCGCTAGGCACGGCCGGTGGCGGCAGATCGTTTCTTCTCCACATAATTGGTATAGTATAAATGATCAGAATGCTCAGCGGAGGCGTTCGGAATCCGTGCCAGTGCTTTGCGCAAAAGTCGGCCGCCTAACATGCTAGCATTATCGTTGTGCGTTTTTTCACGGCGGTGGCGCGCAACGTCGCAGCCCCAATTGGGCGGAGGACAGGGGAGTGAAGCAGACCAGAAGCATGTGGTGATATGAGTTGGCAGGGCACGTTCGGTAGATTTTGAATTTCTGGCAGTGCCAACGTTCCCCGAGCGCGGACTTGTGCCCGTGCGCTCCCGTCGGTGCCAGCAGAGGTCCAGATGAGTCGGGAAAAGAATGCCCCAGAAGCGCACGAGGGCCCCACAAACACCCCCCAGAGTCAGAGGCATGAAGAGGCTCCCATCGAGGCTCCACATATAGTGTCAGAAGGCTGCCGAGATGCCGTCCAAGAGGCCTAAGAACTTTCAGTAGCCCTCAGAGAGCGCCCCCTGAGGCATCCAAAGAGACTTCAGCATGGCTTTGCCAAGCTCTTTTAACGCCTCTCGGGCATCCACCCTTAGGCTGCCCTGGGCCCTCCTCGTGGCTGCCTTGCGCGCCTTCCTAGGCCCTTCCTGAACGCCAGCAAAAAACAGCCTCGAAAGAAGGGTAGACCTCGATGCAGCATTGTCGTTTTTGGTGGCGTCTCGAGCCGGAAGCTCTGATAGCCGGAACCTTCACATTGAATTTCCGAAATTGTCACAACCAACACCGAGAAGGCCCCAGAATCGTCCGTGCAATCCTCAAGAGCAGGTTCCGATGCGAGTTCTTTGGGCGTGGCTAAAGCTTCAGCGCGCGCGAAGCGCGCGTGTTTCTAGTTATATTGAGTCAATGTCGGCTGTTTGGAGCCATCTTGAGGACCATCTTAGAGCATCGGGGGCCCTCTTGGATCCATATTTCACGCCCAGAGGGCTGGTGAGATTTCACATTGCAGGGACGTGACACGTATGAGGCACACGCTGTGGCCTAGACCAGTCTCACCCCCCAACACGTGGACGATCATGTTTCAGAGGTTCTTTGCAAGGGGCTGCGTTGCACACATAGAGCATCTATACGTTATTGCTCGTATCCCGCACCATATGTAGGTGGTGTGATGGTTGTTCTATGTCGCTGACGTGACGTAGAGCCCATCGAGGACATGCGGTATGCACTTCAGGCTGCGACAGAAAACTTGATAATTGTACCGGGAATTCAGTATCGCCCACTGTTTGTGTATGTTCTGTTCGGCTTTTCCTGGCCTCGCGTAGTAGACGAACGTATTGCCAACAAACGCTAAAGTTCGTTCAACAGCGCATGGCTGTTGCCATGTTCATGGGTGTTAGCGGGAAAGCAGTAATTGTGGACTGCGGGAAGACGGCGACGGCGGCAGTTGTTCAAAGCAATGCGGTATTCTTCTTCCACGGCTCACGGTTGCAAGGGTCCAGGTTCCCCATTTGCCCGTAGTGAGTGGCGAGGGTTGCCCAAGTGCGTATTCGCCAGACGAGGTTTCTTCCACCCGGTAGCCACAGCATCAAGAAAGCATGGGCCGAATTCGGTTCGATGCTCTTCTCCCTCTCCACGCAGGGGGGCGGCGCAGGATACCAGAGCTCGCAGGGGTGGAGATCGAGGCCCGCCTCCCGCTGCCGCGCCAGCTTCCCTCGAGCAGTTGTCGAGCGGGGAGCCGGGATGGCATGCAGGTGTTGCAGCTTGTGCCAGGAACCACGAGGCCAATTGCACAGCGGGTGTTTCCTTCTGTTCCCGCTCATATCCATCTGCCAGCCGCACACCCCGCCAGTGCCTGTACAACAGCGCAGCAGGAAAGACTGAGCGTAGGAACGGCGCAATTCCAGCGTGTAGTCTGCATTGGGGCGGGTCGTGATCACAAGTTCGTCTTGGTCCACGCGGTAGGGAGGAGGAGGAGGAGGAGGAGGAGGAGGAGGAGGACGAGGAGGAGGACGGGGAGGAGGGGGGGGAGGGGGAGGAGGAGGAGGAGGAGAGTGAGGAACGAGGAGGAGGAGGAGGAGGAGAAGGCGTCGTGGAGCTTTCTTGGGGCCTTCTTGGGGACTCCTGGGAGTTTCCTGGAAACTTCTTTGTGGCCGCTTTGGGGCCGCATGGGGCCTCTTGGGGGACTCTTGGGGCCTCTTCGGCCGCCGTAGGGGATTATTGGCCCGTCTGACGCCTATGGAGGCCGCCTTGGGGGCCTCTCTTGGCCGTGTTGGTGCCCTCTTGGTGTTGTTCACGGCCGTCTTGGGGCCGTATTGAGAGCGTCTTGGGCGATATGTGGGCCCTTCTGGGCCGACATGGGGCCCTCTTGTGGGCCTCTAGGGCCCCCTTGGAGCCATCTTGGAGGCTTTTGGAAGCTTTTTTGTCCGACAGGTGAGAACCCACAAATCTCCCAACAACCAAGGAACATCAATGGTGTTGGCTTCCTCGTGCTCTCCAGGAGGGCCTCTTGGAGATCTCTTGTGCCGTCTTGGGGGGTTCCCGATTTGTCTTGAGGCTGGATTGGGAGCCTCTTCATCCGTCTTGGGCCATTGGGGCCCATCTTCGCGTCCCATTGGCTGCCTTGACAGCCGTCCTGGAGGCCATGGGGCTCCCAAGAAAGCCTCCAGGCAGATCAAGAGCCCCCCCCCCGCTTATGCGTCCCAAGGGGTGAGGAGGTCAACACCATTGCTTCCCCCTTAGGTTGCTGAAGGATGTGAAGGTTCTAGCATGGTTGGGCATCTCTTGGCTATTTTGTTGCTCTTGTGGGGCCCTTCAAGACGGTCTTCGGGCCCTCTTCGGGAGCCCCTTGGGCGATCTTTGGGCCCCCTTGAGCCCTGTTGGGTCGCTCTTGGGGGCCTCTTTCTGGTTGTCCTGGAGCTATATTGAAGGCCTCTTGGAGGCTTGTTGTGCCATTTTGAGCACTCGAGGCGCCCGAGCAGGTGAGAACCTCAACATGTTTCAAACACCCAAAGGCACATCAACGGTATGGGCCCCCTCGGGCTCCCCAGGAAGGCCTCTTGGAGCTTTCTCGGGCCGTCTTGGGGGCCTCGTGCGCCGTCCTGTGGCCTTTTTGGGATATCTTGAGCCGTCTTGAGGCTGCCTTCAGAGACTCTGGAGCTGTCTTGGGCCACCTTGAGCCGTTTTTGTTTCGGCGTTGTCTTTGAAGCCGTCTCGGAGGCCATTGTGTTTTTTTGGAAGCCGAAACAGGCCGCCAGCCAACACTCCCAAAAGGGGCGATGTTCGAACCGCGCGCGTGGGGAGGGGGAGGGGGGCCCTAGAAAACTTTAAAACCTCCCAGACAACAGACGGGCATTTTAACACGCCCATTCCGTGCAGGCACGGTTCCAGATGATGCGAAGCGCCTTCTCAAGCGTCGGGGCCCAAGTGATCCATTCAGTCTCATATCGCGCCTTAGGTGGGTCGCAGGTCCCACCCGCCGTCGCCGTTTGTGGTCGCGCACATATTCGTTTGCCGAACTTTCGATTTATCTGGCTGCAATGATGTTTTTCTTGGGCTGTTTCGGTGCGGAGGTCAGCGCTGGAGGTCAGCACGAACTTCATGGAGCCTTGTGATGCGCGGGAATCCGATGACCAAGGCGGGCCACGGGCGACCCTTTCTGCACAGCCTGCCGCACCATTCTCGCCTGTTCAAGGGCGACCCTTCCGATGGACAGCATGCAGTGGCCAGGCTGAGGTGACGGCGTCCCGCAACGGTGTCCACACCTCCTTGTCGTTTCTACGAATGCACCGGCGACGCCGCTCCAACTGTTTTTTAGGTGTGGCTCTCTCTCTCTCTCTCATCTGATATGTTTCCACTTTCGAATGGATCCTGCACATTTTGGAGCGGGCCAGAGTGCGGCACGCAATGACGTTTGTCTTGGCTGCTGCGCATTGATGTTCCGTTCCAGTCTGGGAGCTTCGGCGTCGCGTTGGGCACTGACGTTGCGAAGTGCGCAGGTTGTCCAGTGAACCCCGTGCTGCGCTTCTCCAGGAAAATGGGAGAGACGACGCCGCAGTCGCGCCTGACTTGGTGGAGTTGTGCAGCTGTCTCATCTGTCGCACTGGATCGTGGACTCCCCATGCTGGTAGTCCCAGATCGGCGCGTGCGCTTCGGCGCGTGTATCTGTTGGGAGCCCACCTTCGATTCAAGTCAGGCGCTCACCTCCTGCCGACAGCGCGCGGCAAGGCACGGGCAAGAAGTGAATCGTGGCATGTTTTCGAGCACTTTGCTTCTGCGCTTCTCTTGCAGATGTCTCAGCCGAGTTGATGCGAGATGCCAGCGCGTGCGCTTCTCAGCTTGCTCGCCGCCAGCACGCCGGTCAGAGGGCTGACGGTCTGTCGCGCGATGTTTACTGACGGTGGGCTGAAGCCTCGCGCGTTGCGTCGCGGGCACGCACGCGCGCGGACCGCCCTTGAGCGGCAGGCTCCGTTGACTGCTCGCGATGCCTCTGCGACCGGGGCATCGGCATCAAAAAAGCGCTTTCGCGGAACGAGAATGTGATGGGGGCGTTTAGGCTTCGCTTTCTTATCATCAATAAAGAGCAAACTCGCAACGGACCGCGGGCTCGCCGCCGCAGAAAGTCGCTCGCTCGGCGGATGGCGGGAAGCGCCTGGCCGGGACGAGAAGGCAATGGGAGCTGTCTTAGAGCCAGTTTACTGCGAGATAGTGGAGAACTGCGACGCGAGAGTCTGCTGAAAAGGGTTGTACTCAGATGCTTCACGTAGACACCTTACGTCATCGAAACAGTGAGATGTCCTGATCGCTCGCGAAAACAAGCGAATTCTAGCATGGGCGTTTCGATCGAGGCTTCCGCCTGCTGTCGGTTGCGCGCGAGGTTGCGCGCGCCGCGCACCCCCCCTGGCCCGCCCGCCCTGCGCGCGCCCTGCACAACCGCGCTCGACATAGCCCGAAACGGTCCAAGATGACCAGCCGCACGCGAACGGCGCGGGATCGAACGCAGAAGCCTGCGCGCAAGCGGTGCGAATTTTAAGGCTGCACGCAAATGGTTCACGATCGATCGATGTTTGCGGTGCGCCGTTCACGTGCGAAGTTTCGCTTTGCGACCTTGCGCAGCTTGCGCGGAATCGACCGTTGCCGCGCAAGTTCGCGCCGCGCAGTCCCCGCGCCCGCTGCCGCCAGAAAACGCCCCGCGCCCCCCCCGGCCCGCCCCCCCCCCAGAACGCGCCCCGCGCGCGCGCCGTGCACCCCCCCGCCCCGCCCGCCCAGCGCGCGACCTGCCCGCGCGGCCGCGCGCGAATAGGCGCGCAGACGCACGCGGGCACGAGCGCGCACACATAGATTCACGCGCGCACGCGCGCGCCCAGAGAACCACGAAGCCCAAGCTGAAGCAGCAATCATCGGGGCATTTGGGAAAACCAGCGACTGCGCCCCATGCGCGCACTTTTCTGCCGGACGCAAGTGTGCGCGCGCCTGCGCGCGCCAGCTCGGAGAAGCGGCGGCCCCCGTGCATGTCCGGATGGGTTCCTCCTCTTTCCCCCTCCCTTGGACGGACTCGTCAGCGCGCTGTGCCTCCTCCGCCCCTGTGAATTCCTCGCGATCGCGGGCTCCTCGCGGAATGCCCCGCGGGTCGACGGTCGCCCTGCTGCGCGCGTTTAATTTCTGCCAGCGTGGACCCAAAGTTGCGCATTCTATAATAGTACGGATTGCCGCATGCGCGGCTCTATATATGTGACGCGATCCACGGCGCACGCGCGCGGCGCAGCCCATGCGGCGCAATTGATTTCTTAAAACCAAGGAGTTGACGCATCCCACGCCCCTGCAAACGCCCCACCCACCCACCCGCAACTTGGTTTGCAAAATCCACGCGGGGGCGATTGCGATGCACGCTTGGCGTTGGCTGGTGCATCTCTGCGGCCGCGCCGACCCTAGCGCGCGCAGCGGCCAGCTAGCTTAGCGCCGCCGACGCGGCCGCGGTGGCGCTGGCGGCTGAGAGCGTCCCAGCGGGCACTTCGCTGCGAGTCGGCGACTCGGGCGGGCGCGGTATCATGGCAACGCCGACAGCGTTAGACGCGACGATGATAGCGGCGACGCTTGCGACGGTTTCTGCACCGACGAAGGCGCGGCCAGCGCGGGCGCCCATGCCGATCGCGCCGGCGACGATGGCGGCCCCCTCGCATCGGCGATGAAGGTTTTGGGAAGAGCTCGACATGCGCGCGCGACCGGCGCGCGAGAGCGGCCCGCGCGGTTTGATTTGAAAGGGATCGCGCCCCCCCCCCCCCCCCCCCAGCACGCGCGCAAGGGCGCGCCAATGATGCCGGCATACTGCGCCAGAGGCCCGCTTGGCAGAATGCCGCGAAGATGCTGACGAACTTATGGTTTCCCAAGAATTCGCAAGAGCGGGCGCGCAAGCTGATGGTGCGAAACCTAGCGTGCGTGAGCGTTGCTTTCGACGTGCGGTTTTGCAACCTTTGCGAAACCTGAGGTGTTCGACGGATTTCGGCACGCGCGCGCGACGACGCGCGCGCGCACTTCGCTGCATTTCTTCCAAAGGGTTCTCGCGACGGCACGCGCGCAAAGGCGTTCGAACGATTTCGACATCGCTTGGTCGCATGTTCTGGACGTGTTGAGGGACAAAAAACGCGGGTTTTCAAAAGAATTCGCAACAGCGCGCGCGCGCGCTTAT